GCTAGTCATAAAAGATTTAGATTTGACTTGTATGCTCACAGATCTCTGTTCACATCGTATGACAGTTATAAAAGTTTATAGGCTCAATATTCCACTTTAAAGACCATGAACCCATCTCATTGTATTGATGTCTTGATGACAATAGTAAGACATGCTTTGTGTTACGCCAAGCTTGTTTTCAAATTCTTAATTAGGCTGTCCGTACTATGGCATACCTTCACGTGAGACGATTAACTGACCATGGTAATAGATCTATTTCCGGCATGGCTCAAACTTTTGACGCATGACAGGCAGAAATCTGAGATTACAATTACATTTACCCCAAGTGGCCTATAAAATAAAAGATTAAGAAGCAGAGATATAACCAGTAACATCCAACATGGATATGCATAATACCAATCTTGAAGCCAGGCTTATTTTGGCGAACATTTTTTCGTCAGATACAAATGTCCGCAAATCTTTCGTCGGGTGCTTATATTCTCGCCACTATCCAAAGAATAAAGCGAGCGTAAGGAATCATCGGATTTATCACAATGCTTATCTGAAGTAACGATCGGATTATCAGTGTTTATTGAGCAACGGATCGCAATAGCTATTACAAAAGAAATAAGTTTTTTTCCTGGAAGTCTTGCATATCAGGCCGACATGCTATTTAAAACTGCCAAACTGTTGCGGAATGAGCCTTATTTCTAAGCAGTCTTGACTCATTTATTTGGATTATCTAGACCAGATTGATTGGGTGTATTCCATCTCAAATTTGGTCAAACCTAACATATTCCTGGTTTCGACCGAAACTAAATTTGCCCCGATACGTTCTGTCCACAAGCCACACTTAGGCTATGAATGGGGGCGCCATAGCAAGCTTATATAGTGTGAGGCATCAGTGGATTCGCGAAACATTAACGGTGAAATTATAAACTTCAATATAAGAATACTGAATTTGAGAAATCGGTGCCTTGAATATAACGCATCGAAGCCTAGATAGGGTGACCTCTGATCGTTTTATGTTACTAGTTAGACTTCGTTTCCACAACTTGGTCGTATTGTTCAAGGGATGAGGATTAACGTACTCTTGTCCCTTTGACCAGTTGTAATATGGTGCTACGAATGGCGAAACTCACTGACGATGCCGGCGAAACGTCTGAATGTACCACATCCACGGTCCTACTCTGGAAATCATGATGCATACAATGAACTCCGGACTAGGTACGTTCCTCTAATATTCATCTACCCCGAAGATAATTTAGCCTAGAGTCATCCCTATATATTCTGTCCATTGTGTACCTTATGATGCGTGAGGTTTTAAATGATTACTTGGTTTATTTTAAAATTGTAACTTATACGTCTAAATGAGGACTTATTATTCATGAGTGCTCAATGTAGCCCGGTGTTCTAGTTCACCAAGTTCCACTATTCTACAGGGCTATCCTCCAACCAAAATAACCGATTGCGAAAACAAGGTCAAACAACTTGTATACAACGAAAGGAGACTGCGACCACACAAAAGGCCACACCATCTTGGTCTTCATACCTTCGATTAACGTACTCTGTCCGGAGTCATCTGCCATGGTATTGATGATCATTTCCATCGACGAATCAAAAACTTGATAAATTGCCAGGCGCTTCACTGGCATCGTGCTATCATTTCCAATGAACTTCTCTACTTTAATTACCTTCAGTTTAAATGGAATTTATTGCATGTAGGCTAACCTCCCTCGAAAAATTGGTTAGCTTTAAGCTTAATTTCATTTGTACGCTTGAAGCAATTTGTTTAATCTCAAATTACCGGGTACCCTTCCTATTATTTATTCTATCGAATGTCTGAAAATAAGAATCTTTACCAATCTTAGCAGTTGAAAAGAAAAACATTTTCTACATGATAGGTAAGAATGAGTGTTTATTTAACTTGCTCAATTTCTACTCGTTCCTCCTTTGCTCTGGAATGGGACCTGTTTATACAAGGCTAATATATGCAACGTATTTCGACCGAGCACATGCTATCTGGGCTAACACTTATAGGTTCATTTTGGTTTTGATTGCCTAGCACCGTCAGGGCGCATAGCTGATCCTAGGAGGTGAAAACAGGCTAATAACATCCCATGGTAGGTTCGTCTTATTGACCTTTGGTTAAAGCCTTGGGATAGTGGTGAGAGTAGACAGACGAGACTAGAATTGCGTCATATATCATTGCCACGTTTATTCAACTCGGTGTGGGACGCATGTCTGAGGTCTTAACCCCAGAGACAATCTGAGTATCTGCTTTATCGTCTAGGCCTAGAAAAGTCACTGTCCTTTGTCCCTTCATTCCACTATAATAAACACGGGAACAAAGCTAAACTCACACACACGCGTACCAACACGCGTGTGCCTACGCACATGCAGGCTCATAAAGACGCTCTAACATTAAAACGCAAACACAAGTGTAGACAGCGCGCAGCACTCCTTGCCCCGGGCGGTGATGCGTTTGACCGCTGGTAGGTCGCTAGCATTGGGCCAGAGTCAACCGACAATAGACATCTGTCCAGACAAGCCCCTCACTTTCCGACCTAGCTTCTTTTACTTCCCAACTGGAGGCTCGTCTCCCTGCTTTACTGTGTGTCCAGTCGTCCTATTTCACAGTTATCTCCCCTCAATCTAATCAGTCTATGGTGGGAATAGACTGAATCATGTTTAGGTTGGGCGGGCCATGGAGTAGACGGAGGACTTTCGCACACAACAACAGTCACACAGCTGGGCTGACAGCAATGGGCCCGATTAAGCGAAATCGGCCACACGCGGTTCCGGTTGTGGTTACGTTGATCCCGTTATATTTAATCCCATGATGAATCTCGGCCAGTACGTTGACACGATGGATGACGACTGGCGAAACTGATAACAGCATTCCGACTAGCCTTATCCCGACATCTCTACTGTCGTAACCACCACCTTGCCACCTCATTTGTCCGGACAGTGGAATTAAGATGTTATCAGCAGATTCGTTTAGCGGGCCATCTTTATCTCCCATTCACCTTTGTACCTTTAAGGTGGAAATGCTTTGCAATTTTCCTAAGTGCTCACTTCCGTTTGTGCCATGTAAGGACTGGTCAACATTTGGGCGTTATCAACAGAAACACGTCTAGGGCTATTAAATATCACCATTTCACAAGCTTCGCGTTATGTAGAGGGCAAAGTACCAACCTTTAAGGATGTTTGCGTACATAGATTAAACACATTTAGCTAATTACCAGAGCGTTATTCATAGACTTATCTGCGGAGGTACAGTTCTCCTCGACAAATGATAGCTCATATGCTTAGATTCCTGAAAACCCTTAGAAGAATTCTATGTTTGAAAAATACTAAACTCTTCATATTGTGGGCAGAACATAGTTGGAACTGCGATTAAATAAAAACATTCAAAGCTATGCATTAAGTAAGATGATTTCGAGACTGGACAAATCTTGACTAAGAACCAGCTTCTCTTTATATCGCTCTGCCTTCATTCAGTCGCTGAAAATTCTACGATGAAATTCTACTTTGCTAAAATATTAACTTGCAGCATCTGAGGCAAAATTATTGTCATGTGTTCCGCATAGAAATGGGCGATATCGTTCCCTATTCGATTCATATGTTAAGATGGATTATTATTTCACACTAGGCACACACATAAGCATATGGCGTCCCTGACTCTTGGCTTCACAATAAAATTAGCTTTTCGTTGACTCAATTCATAGGAGACTACTGGTGCTCACTTCTTTGTTGAAATCCTGCCAGTAAATATTGCTTGGTCGGAGCATTCCCATACGCTGCACAGTCAATATATTCAGCAGGTTTGCTGGGAAAAGCCGTGAATGGCACTGAATAGACCCATCAATGACAAAAAACGTGGGTCATACCAAGCCAATAGGAATGCAGGCTGGCTGGGACCAAGCAAAAGGTATCATTTTGTTCATCATGCACACTGAATAATATCATTCCGAGTTAGTGTTCACAATCATTGTGGAATTTTTAATTTCCCCTGCTCCGCGAAACTGGAAACGCAATAAGCATGCAAGTAAGTGTTGGTACAAGTCGGCAAAACTTTATCCACCTACAGGCCCAAAGTCGCAAACAATCAAACCCATAAAATTCGGCCTACCGACAATTCCTAAGTTCAGCTCAAAGTTTTTTTTTCTCTATGCGACTATACCGCCCAGACTCATTTACTCAGGTAACATGAGAGAGACATTATGTACAGATTCAGAGGCTGAGAGCCCCTTTGTCAATTAAGTCAATGCACTGAAAGTTGCACCAAGTAGTCGTTTTTACAATATCCTATCCCACAGTTTCGGTCGACTTTACGACTATGTGCATGTGTGTGCAGGACCAGGCACCATTGAGGTTGACCATGCGGAAAACTTAATATAAACTAATCCCTAGGATCCATTTTTTCAACGAGCAACTTGGTATTAGTTGATGAGCAAACGACGCCAGTCATTAGGACCAAAAAATGAGCTGAGGAACAGCTCTTTTTCATGCAGTAAAACTAACTCATCAAAGAAGAAAATGAGATGCTAAATCCTCAGCCCAGCTCAGCCAGAAATGAGATGGTTCCAATAACCGGTACATTTTGATAGCTCTCTCGAACTACATTACATTAGTTGTTTTACTGATGAGATTTCTGGGTTGAGTACTGGCTCTATACTCCGACTTAAAGAAATTACTCAATTTACTAATCTATACTAAATTGTAGTATCGGCTTTTTAATCCTAATCGGCTTCTAGGTCTCGCGTCATGGAAACTTGGGGGTTACTTTGCCAATTAGAAGAAATCACTTCAAGATGAAGAGAATGCGAATGTAGGGTCTGTAGACGCACAACAATGGACAATAATAGTATCTATTCCATATGCAAGAGGCTCCCGTTTTTACCGAGGGCTGTGCTAAATTGAGTCCTGATAAGCCCTTTTTGTGAATATGATGTGCCAAGCCTTGTTGCCTTATTGAGGCCTTTTTGAGGTTATTATGTTGCTACACTTAGGGCTATATGCTTGTACTCATACCGCAGACAGACCGTATTTCAAGTATTTCGTCTGGAGTGTAAAAGAAGGGCATACCGTCATCATTTCGGCTAATGTTAGCGTAATATCTTAAACGGACTAGGTCGCTGAAGGCGATTTAAAGACGGATGTTCGAGCAGGAGATTATGCTTTACGATAATTAAACAGGCAAGAAAAGAACTTCAATCCCATCCAAGGTTGCCTGATGAGATATCTCATGATTTTTAGTCGGCTGTTACATTCTCCTACATACCTCCCTTCACCTCGCAGATGGTGGCTACCTAGATCAGAAGGTAAGACTGCTAAGGAAAATTTTAGTTGATAATACTAATTTCCACTAGTAATTGAAATTTATTTTGGAATAATGGCAAATAGAATGGATG